TGGGAGGGACCCCACGCTGGAGCAGGGGAAGAGAGTGAGGGGGAAGGAGCGGCAGAGACAACATGTGATGAACTGACCACAACCCCCATTCCCCGTCCCCCTGCACCACTCGGGGGGAGGAGGTAGAGAACTTGGGAGTAAAGTTAAGCCTGGGAAGAAGGGAGGGGTGGGGGGAAGGTGTTTTAAGATTTGGGTTTTATTTCTCATTATCCTACTCTGATTTGATTGGTAATAATTTCCCTGAGTTGAGTCTGTTTTGCCCGTGACGGTAATTGGTGAGTGATCTCTCTGCCCTTATCTTGACCCATGAGCCCTTCGCCATGTTTTTCTCCCCCTGTCCAGTTGCGGAGGGGGAGTGATAGAGCGGCTTTGTGGGCAACTGGCATCCAGCCAGGGTCAACCCACCACAGCAGTATTTTAGTTTTTAGCAATATGATTTCATTCTGTATTGGGCGGGTAATAGACAAAGCCCGTTTTGAGTCTGGCAGCAATTGGGGAAGAATTGTAGAAGCAGCATTACATCTTTTCATGTTTTGAAGATCCATTCCATGAAAGAGCCAAGCCCAGAGCCCTAATTCTCCGAGTCTCAGCTTCATAGGTGAGAGTGACTTATCTTTGACTTCAGTATTCAAAACAGAAGGAAGTATGACTGTATCTAGTTGCTGTGAAGGAAAATAGGTTGTATATGCTCAGTGAGTCTCAAAAAGATGGGTGTGGTAGACATAGCAAATGTGAAGAGAAGGTAATTTTGTGCTATGCTATCATTTTCCTTGCCCAGGCAGAGGTGTTTTTACTTTGTATTCAATAAAAGCCCTTTTGTCTCAGCTGCACATGATTAGAATATACAGGACTATGTCTTAAACTAGTTAGTTAAGAAAATAACACTATTTGTAAGTATTTTAAAAATGTGAACCAAATATTTCATAGTTAGATTATGAAGTTGTGTATTACTAACGCATGTTCTTTTGCAAATAAATGAACAACAAGGATTATTGAATCCCACTCAGCATATTTCACTTCTGCTTCCTGGGCTAGAAACAGTATCAAAAGAAATGCGATTCCATTTTGGTTGCGGTCGAAACAACAGGTATAAATGGATTTAATATAGCTATTCTGTTTGCTCTTAATCCTGATTCATACAAATACATGGGAAAGTGTGAATTCACATATTCTGATAAAACATAACTGGAGGAGTAGAATTATGTATGTCTTCTTTAACAGAAGATGCCATCAGTCACAGTGCATTAAGTAGTGTAGGCTATGAAATTCTGTATACCTTCACTAGCGGCACAGACAAGGAAGAGCCTTCTAATACGTGGCAAAAAAAAGTGAAAGCACTAGTAAATGAGTGCTTCTATACTGAGATTTATTTTTGCTAATTATAAATAATTAAATTAATTTTATACTTGTATTGTTTTATTCTTGTTCAGGAAGACATTGCTATTCCCGGTTACTGAGTTTTCCTTTTACTTGTAATGCCTTTCTGTCACTAGGAAGAATAAAAGTTCTGTTTTGTGGTTGTTGTTGTTGTTCACTTACCTATAGCTAAGGTCACGTTTAAAAAATTGGGCTTACATATACCTATGTAACATGGTTTAGTTATGTGAGTCACCTTTTATCTTTATTGTTCCTTGCTTCTTGAGGGAGGTGGAGAGCATTGTAGGGAAGGATCTAGCATAGATGTGCACGTGTGAAGGCAGAAATGGATCTTCAGAATTTTGACAACAAATGTAAGTTTTGAGATAAGAAATTTCTTTTAAAGGTGAAATTTTTGGTTTTACTCAGGAAATTTACAACTCAGTAAAGCTAGAGGATAAAGCTGTTACAGCAAACTACTGAGAAGATGACCCACCAAGTTATGAGCTGATATTTATTCTAGAAAGGGATAGATCAACCCCCCCTATCCCACCCCAGTAAGACTAACACCAGTGTAATCTTCAAAGCACGTTAGGCTGGTTATGAATGAAGTCTTTGTAAGAGGAATGCTGCCTACTAGGTTGGACGATAACAACAAGGTAGGACACTTTAAAACTGCAATTGTTTGCCTGCTTGCTGACATGTTTTTAGACAGTATTTTTAGTACAGGGTGGCTTTTTTGTTTTTTCTTTAGACAAGTGCTGGGCGCATTTTTATTAGTGTTTTAGTTCAGGTAAGGTGTGTGAAATTCTGAAGTGATTCTCCCAGGCATCCCAATTTACCATACTTTTGTTTGCATCTTGGGGTGGTCTTAGAGTGCACAAATTAGATTCCTTTTGGAGGAAACTAAATCAAGCAACATAGTTCAGCTGCAGCTGGGTGTTCAGTCACAGAGCCAGCCTAGAACTAATCTGGCAAAAACCCTCTGAAACCCAAAGTGTGTTTGTCAGATCATAAGCACCAACTGATTTGCTTTACAGACTGCCTCCAATTAGCTTATCCATATGTTAGCTGTTAGTGTGTCTCAGGAGTACTAGTTCGACATGTAGCACCACAATAGTGTGACCTCTGAGGCAGTGAGAAAAGGCAGTAATAAAAGCGGAAATGGCATCTAACAATATTATTGCTTTAGCAAGTAAAAAACTAAACAAACAAACAAAAAACCCCATCATATGTCTGCACTTTATATTTTGTTCCTCTTTTCCATTGAAATGTACAATGTCAGGGGTTTTTTTAGTGTATTTTAGAATGTTGTGAGAATGTATCTCTGTAAAACTTGACAATCAGGAAAATTCAACTGTACTTAATTAAAAGATACTACGCTTTCCTCTCCCACTGTGTTTTCTGGGCTTTGATTCCACTAAACTGAAATAAAACACTCATTTGGTTAATGTTAAAGGTGTTAATTTATAGAAACCTTGAGCTCTTTTGAAAATAAGAGTTGAGAAACTTAATTAAGGGCCTTCCATGGTAAACACAGATTCTTATCCCTTCATTAAGAAATTACCATCTAAGGGGATCTCTAATAAATCCAATAATGTAGCCTTTTTCTTTAGCTTGGTAGGGGAGATAAGCAATAAATGTTCAACTGATTTGAATGTGGTTAAACTAAGATTATTCATGAATTATCTCGTATCAGTTTGAAGTTAAACACAGGATGAAGTGTACAGTAGTTCAGTTTTACACCTAATTTTCATTATGTGTGAGAACACTCTTTTCTAATCATTGATATTTTAACATTGTTTCCAGGATAATTTTCATATATGTATTTCATTATTTTCATATATATAACAAATAAAAGTTAAGCAAATCTTGATTTCATATTGTGTTCTTGTATACACACCTTAGTTGCTGAACTTTCCACTTTATAAAGCTATATTGTGTTAACTATGACAAATATGTGTTCTGTATGCCCCTATAATTATCTCTGTGCTGGAAGGGGGGTACTGTAAGGCAGTGTTTGGCGATACATAGGTTTTATACTAATATGATGCAAAAACTGGTAAACGACAGTACTATTGCAGTATTAGCTTTTTTGGACTTCTGTTGTGCCTCTGTTCCTTCCCACTTCTGGGTAATGACCTTGTGTGCTTCCGCTCAGAAGGGTAGGGAAACTGGAGGTGAGTGTACTGACCAAAGTTGGTGATGTTCCTTTCTGTCCCCTGCACAATGTCAAAGCCACATCGCTGTGTGGGGACTGAGCACCTGTTGTATGGGTTGTTCAGCGAGCCCCAGAAAAGAGAGGTTCATTTTGGGATCTTCCCACATCCCAGTTAAGTGGCAGAGGAAGAAATTCTATACTCTGCAGCATACATCACAGACTGAAATCTCCCATTTCTAGATCCCAAGTCCAGTAAGTCCATCTTGGCTGATGGAAAGATATAGACTCCGCTTCTGCCTTAAACCTCTGCTGTCCTCTTGTCCGAAAGATGGTATGTTACCATAATAGTTGGTGGTGTCGCAGTGCTTCCCCTCTGCATCTGTATTTGCATAATGGAAGAGTCAGCTGGGACTGATAATGTGTGCTGTAATGCTGAACAGGAAACCTTTTGTAGCAAGGGATAGTTAGGTTTTAAAATGGCTTTTACGGGTCAGGTGTGAATGTGCATTTAGCATACTCTTTCAAGCTCCTGCCGCATGCTATGTGTTCGCTCTCTGCAACCAACACACTGTGCACAGTATAAATGATTACTTTGGGGGGAGGAATAACATCCTTTATGACAGACAAAAAGAGGGAGTCTAAGTAGCTTGAGGGGTTTTATATTGGTGTAAAACATCCATGCTGGTTTGTAGTAATAAACCATTCATAAACAACTGCATTCAAACATAGGTAATGCAGTGCTTTGAAATCATGTGAAAGTCTAAGCCTTGAATGAAACAGCCTTGAATAATCAGAAAACCGTAACTATACTGGAGTATCTTAGCATGTCTTTCTAATTGCCAAGTCAGGATCTTTATTGTGCTAGAAAACTAAATGTGGTGTTCAGGTCTGTACAAAACAGAAACATCAAAGTTTATACCATAATGTTCTTCCTTCTAAAGATAGTATAAAGCAGCTACTCCACCCTAGCTTTGAAAAGAGAAGGAATTTCCTAAAAGCCTGCTCTTGAATTTATTTATTTTTAAAGAAGTAGAGATTTTAACAATAGGATAAAAAGGCTTCCACAGTTCCTTTTTTTTTCCCTAGTTTATTTGTAAATAATATCGACCTTGCCAGAGCTCGTGGGTGTATTTCAATAAGGTTGCAAAACTAAATATTCAGAAGTCGTGGAGTGCTTTAATCTTAAATGAGGGTTTATACCCCTTTTCCTTACCACCAACATCACCATTAGAGAACAGCTTTTAAAGCAGTAAGCCCTGCAGCCAAATCACCAGTAAAGGAGAGGCTTTATCATAATTGCAGGGGATATGACTGATGAAAAAGCAGCTGGGGCCGTGGTGTGAACGGAGCAGAGCTGTACTGTCTCAAGTGTGGAGTTATGCTATCTTTTGCTCTATTCTAGTTAAAGTTGTTACCTCCTAATGGGCCTTTGACCACGTGTTTCCAGTTTCAGAACTACTAAGCTAGATTGTGTAACCACTCTTAAGTTCTGCAGTACCGCAATCACATCATGGCAGATACCACATAATAGAGTTTCATTTTAATTTTATACATTTTGATACAGTCCTAATTTTAATTCTATCCCCCTTCCCCTTATCTGTAATTGATCTCTGAAAGCCCGCGTGCTGTTTTTAATGCAGTTTGTGATTTTGATTTTATTTTATTGTTGTAATGTCCAGGGCTATTTGCTACATTTTTGGTGTAAAGAAAGAACTTGTTGGGAAGGAGTCGCATCTGTTTTTAAGATTCTTTGCTGTATACTATGTGCTATTTTAGCTTCACTTAGGCCTGACTTTAGACTGGAATATTCATGCTCATGTATTAGTTTGATAGAGGAGATATCTCTCTCTCTCTCTCTCAATGTTGTTGTATGCAACAAAAGGGATTTAGAATTGCATACATTCGCTTTTCTCTAAAAGCAACCAGTGTAAGAGCTCATAGAAAGCTAGGGTTTTTTGTTCACTGAATTTTTGAGAGTAGAGGTTTTGCTGTCTCTAAATAAAACAACTCTCTTCCCTTTGAAACCTAATGTTTATTGCACCAGTTCAGTCAACAGTCATCAGCTGGAACCACAGAGTAATCAAAGTTACCTTCTCAGACTTCTTTTTAAGGATCAGACCCAACAGATTTGTTGAGCAAAGGCTGCAGCATTTGTAATGCATAGCAGCACTAGCTGTACTGTGTTGTCTTTTAATTTTACAAAGTTCAAGGTATTTAGCAAAGCACTTTGAACATTTTGTATTTTCAGTGTAAGTGGAACAGACCAGTCTCTCTGCTTCCTATGAATAATCTGCATTTCTTAACTTTTTCTGAAATGTGCTACACGGTATGAAAATTACACTTGTTAAGCGGAGCTCACCATTTGGCCTTGTATCACCTGTTTTGCAATACTATATTAATGCAATTGTTATTAAAGAAGCTTCACTCTGAAGATAATAAATACAGAACATCAAAACAGTGTAATTGCATGAAAATACATGAAAATTATATAACTTACATTGAGATGTTTTTGAACAGAACATATTTGGAAACATATCTCTAAGGTATTTTGGATTACGTTGAAATAATTTTCTTGTGGTGGAAGAGTGTTAGGTTCTTTATTATAAGTATGTAAGTATTAAGTTATGGCACGGAAGACTTGCTGTCTGCTTTGACACCTGTGTGAAATGGTTTTGTGGACAATCTAAACATCCTCAGTGCGCAAATCAACAGAGAACTCAAAGGACTGATTTTTCTGCATTCATGGCTAGTATTATCCTGCCTACGAGCTTGTCTGTGCATTAAGGAATAGACTAACTGAACAAGTTTGGTTAATTTGCCATGTATGATTGTTGAGCTGGGTCACAAACTCCACTTTCTCCCCCGCTCCAGGGTACAGACAGGAAGGTGTTTCATCCATTTTCAATATTCAGTCTCTCATTTATTTTTGTTTTCTTCCCTCCTGACTAGAGAGAGCTTCAGTGTAAGTAAGTTTAATAAATCCGAATTTTTAGTCTGAGATCTGAAGATACTGGTTTGGTGCTAGCAAGGTCTATAGCTGTGACCAGGGGTTTTCTGGGTTTTTTTTGGTCAGTTGGTTGGTTTTGGTCATTTACCCTTGCCAAAAAACTTCACTTTTTTTCCTCAACTAGTTAAATTCACTGTGTACATAGTTGCAACACTAATATTTTACTGCTTTTGTTTTTTCTAGGGCGCCAATGCCTCAGCTTTGGAGAAAGAGATTGGTCCGGAACAATTTCCAGTCAATGAGCACTATTTTGGTTTGGTTAATGTAAGTTTCAGTCCATAACTTCATTGCTTTGAAATGCCAGGAGTGGATTTGTTAAATTACAAGTCTGCAACTGAGTGAATAATTAAAACCCTGAAAGATATAGTCGTTGAATATACATACTTATTGAAATGTGTTTTAATATTCAGTGTATTTGTTGAAATATGCTACTGAAATAATTGTTGAAATTGGACTGTGTATTTAATACTTTATTTCATTTTACTAATTGTAGGGTATTTTTTAAATCATTTTCTTTCTATTAAAATGTATAAGTTAAAAAAAAGCTGTTTAAAATATGTAGCTTGTAGTTCATCATACACCAATCTATGAATAAATACAGTAAAAGAAAAAAAAAATCTGTGAAAGACTGTTGATGATATGAAGTGTTCACATCTGGTATTTGTATTAAAATTTAAAAAAAATACTGAGCCCAAAGGGGAAAGCAACAGTGGAAAAAACATACTGAGTTGTTTGATTCGATCATTAGTTTTAAGGAATAATTTAAATTTTACTTTCTGGTATTACCCATGAAAAGTATATCTTGTTAGAAATTTCATTATTCTGAAATGAAATATTAAATTATTTTCTTTATTGGGGCTTCAGAAAGTACATATTTAAACCAAGTTGATTTATCAAGAGCTATTGTCTCGTGTTTCTTAATGAAACTACTTCTAATGCTGTCCTGCTACTACAACATATGTCTCCACCTCTAGGTTCTTAGCACTGACATGGTTCAAGAGTCTGCAATCCAAGTATACACTGTGCAGCCAGTAAACACTCTTAGTGATAAGCTGACTTACATGCATCTCAAATGCCATGACTTAAATTAGCAATTTTTTTCCTTTCTCATGACAGTTGAAATACCTTCAAAATCATAGAATAGAATCATAGAATCGTTTAGGTTGGAAAAGACCTTTAATTTCATCAAGTCCAACCGTTAACCTAGCACTGCCAAGTCCACCACTAAACCATGTCCCTAAGCGCCACAACTAGACGTCTTTTAAACACCTTCAGGGATGGTGACTCAACCACTTCCCTGGGCAGCCTGTTCCAACGCTTGACAACCCCTTCAGCGAAGAAATTTTTCCTCATCTCCAATCTAAACCTCCCCTGGTGCAACTTGAGGCCATTTCCTCTTGTCCTATCGCTTGTTACTTGGGAGAAGAGACCGACACCCACCTCGCTACAACCTCCTTTCAGGTAATGGAGAAATGTTTATGCAAGTCTTCTGAGTATAGTCCAATTGAAAAAAAATTTAGTGATACTAATGGAAGAAACACCAGCTTATGGATTGATGCTATAGTCTGAAAACATACAATAAATACTGTGTACTACTCCAAATATTATCATCTTTATGACGCAAATTATAACAGTTTTGAAGAACTGGTACATAATGCATATAAAATTGACACTTGGAACTGTTGGATGACTAACCTATCTGAATGAACAGTAGCTGCCAGCTTTGCAGGTAGCACAGAATTACAGCTGTCCATGCCTTTAAAAAGCCTGAGAAGCCTGACTGTTAACGGCTGACTGCAGTGCATTACATTGGAGCCAGTGCATTATGTTCTGGGCCAGCTCAGCAGCGTTAGAAATGTATCACTTCAGATGTGCAATTTTGTTTTTAGAGAGAAAAGGAGATGGATAATTATGCTTAGATTATGGGTATTTTTATGCTCCCTGTAGATATATTGATGATAATCCCCTGGCCTGAGACATTTTATTCCATTCTTGAGTAAAGGCTTTCACATTTTATCAAGGCTTTTCCTGGAGCCAGCCTTAAGCACTAACAAGAAAAATGACTTCTTGAGGCTCTGATTTAGCCTTAACAACTTAGCCCAGAGACTCAAAGGCACTTAGGTGTTGTGACACAGAGCTTTGCAACACCTAACTTCAGGCATCTGACCATGATACCAAAACCCTTTTCACTGAATACTGAGCTGAGACTACTTATATGATCTACAGGCAGAATCTTGCACTTCAGGATGAGGTATACGCAGATCAGCATGAAGAACAAAGAGCCAGGCAAACCAGTAGGAAATTTCAAAAACAGGAGGGATGTTCTGTTTCTTCTGCCTTCTTTGGCTTTTTACCTAACTGAGACACCCAAGTTCATCGGAGGACACAGCCTTTTTCATCTCCCCTGTATAAATCGTGCAGAAAGATAGATATATTAAGAAAGCAAATAAACCTCAAATGGAAGGGATCCTTCAGTGCTGACAGAGCAGGGAGTTCATATCAACCACCCTGCTGTCTTAGAAGCCTCAGATGGGTATGTAGGGTTCAGTAAGATGGATCTGGCCTTTGCATTCACTAGACACAAGTAGTAGTTGTAGTTCACAGCTCCCAGTCTCTCATGAAGGTAGACTTCTAATTCCCTTAAAAAAATAACAGAGGATTAACTGCTCCTTTCAAGAGACAGGTGAGAGGCAATTCCTGTCTTCTTGTCCCTCCCTCTCTCCCTCCCAGCATTATCCAGTCTTTTGGAAATTAGAGTGCTCAGTTAGGGATATGGATTCAAGGGTTTGTTTTTGCACCTGTGAGTGCAATCCCCACCACACACTCCTTGGGAGAATTCCTTAAGTCCCAGGCTACACAGCTTTTCTCACTCTTTTTTTCCCCTATTCAGATCAGCCCTTTTCATTCTCTCTGTTCAGCCAGGCTGGTTTTCTTCCTCCCTGGCTCGTCTTTCGGCATGTGACGAAATGACGCTTTGTTTCTCAGAAAAGAGGAAATACAGTAGTGTTCCTGTTAATACTTGTTGTCAGTTCTGTAGCAGAGCTTAGGCTTTCCATCAAAGCTGTTCTTATCTTTTCTCAAATCTGTTATTCTGTTGACAGATAACCTGTTTTCCTTATTTCTTGTCCAAGTCCAGAGAGGTTTTAAGACTTAACAGTAAAATTGTATTGTATGCCTAATCTTGAAGTTTTACATATTTTGTACCCTTAAGAAAAGTTTCAGTAAAGGGCAATCTTCCTAATATATAATGAATATCAACAGATTCTGGCTTTCTGTAGTCCAGAGGGAGTAGGAAATTTGAGGGGAAATCTGTCTTTAAGTCACTGCCCTCAACCATACACATAAGAGGCAGGCAGCTAAGATCTCAGAGTGCTCTTAACTTTCTGTGTAGTACAGGAATATTGCTTATTTTAGCTTCAAACACTTAAGTTTTATGGACCAAAATTCTTTGAATTGTAACAAATAGTAAAATGGGATTCTATTACATCTATGGCACAGTGGTGCTGTGTTTTTCAGATACAGTGTTTGGCTAAGGAAATTCAGTCATATTGTTGCTTGGATGTTTTTCAGATCTCTTATACAGGTTGTGTTTACTAACACAGTATGTATATGCCATAAATGTGTAATAAGCTTGCAGAATTTAAATCTATCAGGAAAAGGAAAGGTAGTGACTTCTTCATTAGCAAACTATGGCCAGTGGCCATTCAGAAAGAATGACAGAGCTAATGATAATTAAAAGAAATATTAGATAATTAGATAATAAATTAAGAGTACTATTAGATTGAGAAGTGATAGAAATCACAATTTTTGCCTTCATTGATTTCTCTAATTGTTTTATAGCAATTACAAGAAGTGAAGCTCTTAAACGTTCATTAATATTTACTGCTCAATTTTTCTAATTTGTTTATCGATTTTATTTGTCCTAACTTTGTCCAGAGTAATGGAAAAAATGGAGATAATGTGGAAATCAATAGCTCTCTTCTAACTGTGTGATAGCTAGCCATTTGAGATGTCTGGAATGCAGGACAGGACTTTATCTAAAGATGGCCATTCTGAAATAGAGATCTGTCAATGGTAAATGTAGCCTTTATCCAGAGGTAGTGTAAAAGAAGAGAAGGTAAAAGCACTATGTTATCTCCTCTCCAGCTTTGTAGTGGAATCTAGGGATTATTCAGAGGATGTGCTGAAAGAACAATTTGAGAGGTAAAAGAAGAATTAAGAAAGGGCAATTATGGGAAGCATATGAAAGACTGGATGGTTGATGGGATGTTTGTTTCTGTCAATGAAAGCTCTAAATGGAAAATTCAGCTTAGGCTTGAAAGGATAATAGCATTCACTAAATCAGCAGGAAATATTTAAGATACGTGGTAAGATGAAAATGTTAGTAGTATGATGTCCCATACACATGGACAATCAGGAACATCAAGTCTGTCCATCATTCTTCTTTCCCTCTACAGTGCAGTAATGCAAACTATTCAAATCTGTGTGCTTCACAAATTAAATCAATGATTTTATCCAATGAGTATGAAATAATGAACATTTTTAATCTCATAAGAGCTACTCTGGTAGCTCTTCAGCAGTTTACCGGACTTCTAGAGCAGAAAGTTTGGTTATTCAGTCTCTTGCAATGGATCTGTGTATTTTGGAGAAATCCTATTTACTGGCATGGCCCATTGCAACAAATAAAAGTTGTCAGAGCTGCCAATGCATCAGAGCTGGGAGGAACCCTAGTGCTGCACGAAGACAGTGTTCTTAGCAGATCTAAATCCCTGTAGATCTCCTGTTTGTTTTTGTAGATCTGTGGGGTTCAACAGCCAAGTTTCTTCCCAGTTGTATGTTGCATCAGAAAAGTAAACTACAAGGCCATAAGCCTTAGTGAGTGTGTGCTGTTTTTGTTGCAACTTTCCTGATTGTCTCATTTTTTTTATTTCCACACAGGTTTGAGTGTTGTAACTTTGATTTCAGAATTTAAAAAAAAAAAAAAAAGTGTGTGTGAAATACACACACAGAGTGTGTATACATACAGAGTGCAGTATTTTTGTGAAAGGAAATAATCTGATTTCTCAGAATTTAGAACAGACGAACAATATGAACTGAAAAAAAGAGAAAATTTGTTTTTTTACTTTTCTTAGATATGCACATCTTGAGATGATCCTCACAGAAACAAGGAGGCAAGCAATAAACCGGTTGAAAACATAGGTTAAAATAACTCTATATAATCTCTGTTACCTTCCCCTGAATGAGATAGAGGAGTTTCAGTAGCCTGTACAGGCTGACAGGTTAAGATATAAAATTACAATGACGGTCTTTCTTAGCGTTTTCTACTGTTATTCTGAGGCAGACTTCACAAGCGTTTCATTTTCCTACAATTATATTTTGAATAAAGCTAGCTAATTTCTAAAGCTAGCTGAACATCCTTCTTGTTTTGAATAGTTCGATGGGCTTCCAGTGCTGTGCATTTTCATATTCCAGAGTGGTGTTGGAGTGTTTACAGTGTCACTACAAAACATACAGATTATGGCTGCAAACTTCTTCTTATACAGTGCAGCGCTTGCACATCTTCTTACAAGTGTTACGCTTCTGAGGCAGTGCTAACTGTAAAGTGAGGGGAGAAGGAAGGTGTCTGTTGGGCAGGCTAGCAGGAGAGCTGAGCATTGAAGAAGCAGAATTAGAAAGCGAAGCAGAGGTGTTCAGTAGGAGGTGGGAGGAGGGAGCAAGGTCTTGGGTGTTTTCTAAATGAGAGGTGTGCTTTTGTATTGGAGTCAAAGGTGGGAAGTAAAGTAATAATGGTGGTAAGACCAGCATTTATTCGTGTAACAAATTCCCTATTTGCTTAGTCTAGAAACCTCCCCACCTTTTCCCCCTTGTTGTTTAGTACATGTACCTTTATAATTTTTTAATGATTGGAAGCCTTTATTTTAAAAAGATTTTAGGTTTTGAAGCGATGAAGATTGATGCTTTAGTTATAAAACAAATGTGAACTAATTAAATTCACTTCAGGAGTTTGTTTTCAAACTCTTTTATTGCCTACTGTCTTTCTGAATTCGGTTGAAGAAAACCTTTTATGAACTTAATCTGCTTGCTTTTATTTCCTATCCACAGGCATGTAGGTTAACATATATTCATATTAAATTAATCTCCTGAATTTTGTTCAGTGTTCTGAGTTCTCTGTTGCTTTATATTTTGGTCGTTTCTCACTGTGCGTTTGCCATTCTAATTAATTTCTCATCAGACTGTTCCTTTTTAAAATTGGAATGTTATGAAATTTCTAATTTGCTGCCTTTTCATCTTTTGACACTTGCTGTAGAAATTTTAGCACTTTTCCCATTTGATTTAATTTTAAGAACTTTCTTAACATTTTAATGTAGTTCTCCTTTTACGGCTATTTCTAATTATAAACTCATAAATAATTAGCTTACAATATTAAATGTTTTGACGTAAACTACTGTGTGATTTCATCTGCTTCCTTTAAGGAAAAAAGCCCTGGTTTTCCTCTTAAGTTCATTGACCTACTCAAGTGCAGATTTGGACCACAAAGAAGCTAATATAAGCATTTTCCCTAGCTTAAAGAAATAAAAATAATGGACATTAATTTCCGCACTTTTTAATATGGAGATCTTAAGACTTATTAATATCTTTTTTTAAAATACACTTCTTACTCATTCTTTGAGTGTGTCTTGGGTATTTTCAAAGTGGGTCTTCATATTTCATTAATTTAAAATAACGGAAAACAGTTTACTTTCCAGTTTTCTGATTAAATTGCATGGTGGTCTTGTTTGTCTTAATCGGGAGAGAGCAAAACCCAGTTACTTCCCTGTTATTGCTAAGATGTAAAAGCTTTTAGTTCTTTTTCTCTGTTGAAAGAACCTGCTCTTAAAATATCTCTGAATGCACTGTTTGCTATATAACAGTCTCCCCATCACAATATAGTCTTAGAATTTGTACCTGTGTATGCTACAATCTTTATATAAAACATAAATATGAACATTATTTTCACATTTTACAGAATGCGTAGCAGGTATGGGCTTCAATTTGCAGGTTGAGTGACTGCAGCTGAAAGGTTGGATTACTTGCTGAGGGCCTTACAAAGATTTTTCTCACACTTTCAGTGTTAGATAATAGGTTTCACTGGAGGAGGACAGCATAAAATGAGAGTGGCTCTATCCACTGACAGCTCATGACGCCTTCTCAGAGGTGATGGGGAGGTTTGCAGTGTTGGGGTGAGCTGGAGACAGTGTTAGTGATCACAAGACTCAAGTGCCTAAGAGCTGGAAGGAGTCTGGGGAACAGCAACATCTGGAGTGTTCTGGTACAAAGGGGGTTACGGATGCTTTTCTAGCTGCCCCGTTTCAATTCAGTGGCCTGCCTCCTTCAAAATGCACATGTCCAAATTGTGCATTCTTTTCCTTTCAGTCTCAATTTGAAACTACCACCTGTGCCATAGCTTTGAATCCTAAACAAGCCATGTTGCAATCTTTTAAGAAAACTCCTGGATGCCAATCCTGTTACCCTAAAATGAGAACTGAAAATGTAGGAACGTAAAGCAGTTATTTCTGACTTTGATCACAACTAATAAGATTTGGAGAATCCAATTTCTGAAGTGTCTGAGAAGCTCTCAATTTACAGCTGAATTTCTTCACAGTACAAGGTCATGCTGTGCCTGTTCTTTACTGTTGCGGCTGACGTGTGGTAAGATGGATAGATATTTTTACCTGGGCTTATTTTGGGAGCTATGAAATTGGTGGTGTTTGTTGAATATTTTGACCCAAGTAAATGCAAAATATTACTAATAAATTAAATTTACAAGTGAGACAACATTATATAATATTGTTCAAATTTACCTAGGTTTTTCTTGCATTTACTTACAGTGTACTTGTTAATCCTTTGTGAAACAGAAATATGCTTTACTATCTTAAAGTCAAGAAGAAATGACTGGCGGAAAATTTGCCCCTGCTTATGCATTCTCTTATACTTTGGATTTAATTTTACCTCTCTACAGTAATACAATGCAAACTAATAAACGTCTCTCTTATTTTATAGTTTGGGAATACATGCTACTGCAATTCAGTTCTTCAGGCACTTTATTTTTGTCGACCATTTCGAGACAAAGTCTTAGCATACAAGAGTCAACCAAGAAAAAAAGAGAATCTCCTTACATGCTTAGCTGATCTCTTCCACAGTATAGCCACCCAGAAGAAAAAAGTTGGAGTAATACCTCCCAAAAAATTTATAACAAGATTACGAAAAGAAAATGGTAACTTTTTAAATTTTTCTTGTGTAATAATCATAGCAATTATGATTTAATTCTGTAGTTGACATAGTGAAATGTCTACATATTTGTTACTTGTGGAAAGTGTTCTTGGTCCTGCAGTATAAAGAAGAGGTGACCCTAGGATAAGGGTGTAACCCTGCAGCTGTTCTGAGAGAGAATCCTTGTCTGTCTCTCTTCATGTAGAACTGAGTGTATTGTCAGTGGCTGCTTATGAAATTGCTTGCTAATTTTGCTTCTTGATGAATTGTGTTTTTATAATCAAAATTCACTGTAACACTTTTGTTCAGTGTTTAAAAAAACATTACTATTTGAATGCAGGAATCAGTCTCCCAAACTGAGTGTGTAGAAAGGTTGTTAAGACTTCCCTCCAAGAATCTACCTTAAAAACCCACAAATTTTTAAATTCATTTAGAATTTATGCAATACTTAGCTTGATCTACTTTTTAAAGGTTTAATGAATTTTAAAATCACCAAGTAGTTTTGGCTAATTTTTTTTTAGTGTAATTGATATCCTAAATTTCAAGAGATTTCCAGAGATTGTTAACATTTCTTGTTTCTTATCTGCAGGGCTAATTGGTCAAAATGTTTTAGAAAATAATTCAATGTTAAAATATAAATGAAACTTTGTAATCTACTACTCAATTTGGATACTTTTATAAAAATATAACATAAAATTTTTCTAAAAAATAACCAGTAGATTTAAATAAAATAGACTATATATGCAGACTAAAAAAGTGTTTAAATGTTATGATGACCGTCTCTGTAGTAAAAACAAGAAATAAAATACTACGACTTTCCTAATTTGAAGTGATCCCTCCAGCAAACGCACACCATGAGTTGTAATAATATTGTTAAAAAAAAGCTCTTGGGTAATGTACAATCTCTTGCCTATGCGGAATAGAAAACTGTCATTCAGTTCTTTGGTAAGTATACTTGAGTAAGTATGCTTGTGTGTTGATGCATTTACAGAAATAGTTCATTATGTCAATGAATGTTGACCAACTATGACAAACGTGGAGAATGGTTCAAATGGAAAGCAGAAAGTAAACCACAGGAGCCATTAAGTTCTTTTTAGAAAGTGTTCTTTTTAATGCTTAATTATGTCATGACACTAAAATTCTAAGCAGGAGAAGGCAATTGGAAAATCTTCGTTAGAGAAATCAGATGTGAAAGTTCAGCTCTTGCTGGCTTTTGGGGTCTCTCGTAATGATGATACTCTCACCTTTTCTACAAATAAATGGCTAAATTGTCAGGCAGCGATTACATGGACATCATATATGCTATTAAGTGCTTATTGTAAAGGTATAGAATTTTGAGCTTTAAAGAAGAGTTAGTTAACGAATCAGGTAGGTACACAACACCGATCTAGATTCTGTTCCAGTCAGTATCCAGCTATACCAGGGTGATGACTGAGAACGTAATCTTAATGTCTTCCAGACTACAATGCTGCTATTCCATCTTTGTTTTCAAAGTCTGAATACAACACACATATGTTAATGACCTTAAAGCTTAACTGGCTGGGAAGCAGATGCTGGGTTGAAGTCAGCTGAAGGTATACTGTTATGTTTGCTTAAATTTTTTCTAATCATAAAATGGACAATGTGTAGCTTTCATTCTGTTGTACTTAATGCTAATTTACCGACTGGGCACATAGCCCTGAGAGGTCCATGACATAACACTGTGAAGAATCTCTGAAGTGTTTCACCTCAAGAGACTTGTAGCTTCTGTTCTGCCTTGACTTACTTGATTAAATAAAGACCTTACAGTTGGCTAGATTCAGAGTTGAACTTACTCTTACTTCTCAAAAATAGTGTAGTAGTTCACTAAATAAACTACTTGGTTCATACTCTTGGCTGACCTATTGCACTACTTAACCCCTCCAAATGATCTAGATTAGCATCAAATTCCTCCCTACTTTGCTAATAGCTCGGGATTTTTTTTTTTCTATTTGAAGTTTACTCCTGGATGCTATCAAGTGAATGATAGTAAAGCTTCCATGTAGTCCCTGTATACACTTCAAAATTTAAGCTTCACTGAGTATCTTTTTCATTCATCTTTCCAGTCCTGGGAACTATCCCTCCGCTGAAGGCCAGTCTCTTAGTATATTCTTGGACTACAAGCAAATTGCAAGTTGTAATTAATTGAAGTAATTGCACATTAAAAGACTTCAATGATATTAGCCAACCATATAGAATGCTTTTTAAATTGGCAGGCAAATTTCCTTGTAACAATTCCTGGTCAGAGAGAGAAGAAGAAAATATTACTAAATCAGATTCAATGCCTTTATGGTTTTCTCAGTCCCATTCCTAATATGAGTATTTGTAGCAGCAGAGGATTTCTCACGTTGATATCCCAAGGGACTACAATAAAGATGTTTTCAGGATAGTACCAATTTGAACATAAACAAGGGAGTAGACTTGTAAGAAAGAGTTCAACTTTATGCTTGAATATGTATCATTGCTATACATCACAAGTATGTGCCAGTGAAACTATTCCCCTTCCACTGAATTAATCGTAAAACTATTATGCTTAGAAATGTTGACAAACTGAGGACATGAAGCAGAAAGCATAGTGAATCCATTATTATCTATCCAGCAACTCCACCAGTAATAAAGGTGCCACATATACCAATCTCCAGAAGCAATATTTCAGATCTTGAAAGACAGATCTGTTTATTACTTGAAGTCCTAATTTGAAACCTGTTTGCTCTTGCTGTGGCTAGAACTTTAGGCTAATTTGACATGGCATCTACAAATACTACCTTAGTAAAAGAGCTTTGAGAAAGAAAATTATTGTTTAAAAATATCAATATCTTTAGGTTTTTAGTCTTAATCTTATTTTCATTGCTAGTATTGATGACACTGTGCTTATGGCAGAGCAACAGTGGACTTAAAACCCTAAAAGTGAAAATAAATAAGGCAATGTTCTGTGCATTTCTTTTTCATGTTCTTCCTGTGATAGAACATACAGATGATGAAACCTTTCCTGTCATAAGTTCTCAGTTCATTTCTGGAAAATATCAACATCTAGTGCCGTTTGAGATGCCCTGTGTTATCCAAGACATTGACCTAAGCTTGGCAGAGATAGCATAGCCCCTGTAGGAGATCCAAATCGTCGTGGACTGGCATCTGGAGGCTGGACAGGATAAGCTATAACATTTCAGGTGGCATTGTATGTACATCTATGTTTAGGTAGTTGAATCATGCCCTAGTTTTCTTGCAGAGTGGTTCGCACTTCTGTTAATTCTGATCAGCTGAGAGATTTCTGTGAATGTAAGCTGGCTCGCCCTCCCCTCTTTCCACCCCCTATACTTTTGGCTTAGTTTATGAAGTATGCATTTTGGGTTGGTGTTGTATTGTCATGAATGATTCAAGACGTGAAGTAAAGACTGGTTTTGAAATTTGACTTCTTTTAAAAACTTTTTTGTAGTATAGCAGTAACCGATTAATTAAAAAATCTTCTGTTGTTTTATCTTGTAGAGCTTTTTGATAACTACATGCAGCAGGATGCACATGAGTTCTTAAACTATCTATTAAATACAATTGCGGATATCTTGCAAGAGGAAAGAAAACAAGAGAAACAAAATGGTCGCCTACCTAATGGCAACATCGACAATGAAAATAACAGCCCACCAGACCCAACCTGGGTTCATGAAATCTTTCAGGGAACATTAACTAATGAAACCAGATGTCTTACGTGTGAAACTGTAAGTCTGGATATGCTTCGTAAAATGAATTCTTCCATGTTTCATGATTCATGTATCTGTCGTGGTTTAATCTCAGTCGGCAACTAAGCACCACGCAGCCGCTCACTCACTCCCCCCCACCCAGTGGGATGGGGGAGAGAATTGGAAGAGCACAAGTTAGAAAAACTCGTGGGTTGAGATAAAAACAGTTTAATAATTGAAATAAAATGATAATAATAATATGATAATAATAATAATACACAAAGCAAGTGATGCACAGTACAATTGCTCACCACC